ATCAAGTCATCAGCATAAAGTAAATGAGAGAATGAAGGAGCTGATCTAGAAATTTTAACACCCTTAAAACGCCCCAAAGTTTCTTCGAAATTAAGAAGTCTAGATAGAACCTCAGTATACAGAACAAAAAGGAAGGGAGAGAGAGGGTCTCCCTGCCTAATACCTCTGGAAGGAACAAGAAAACCAAAAGGGGAACCATTAATAAAGAATGAAAAGGAGGAAGTGGACAAACACTCCATAATCCAACCAATGAATTTATTGCAAAAGCCAAGATTAGATAAAATGCATTCAATAAGCTTCCATTCAACTCTATCAAAAGCTTTAGCCAAATCCACTTTCATAGCCATCAGACCTTTCTTACCCTTCTTTTTGTGCATGAACTCATGATTTCCTGTGAAACAATGTTATTGTCATGGATATTTCTATCCTTAACAAAAGCCATTTGGAATGGAGAAATGATAGAACAGAGCAAAGGTTTTAATCTATTAGCTAAGATCTTTGAAATCACTTTATAAGTCACATTGCAAAGGCTAATAGGCCTAAATTGTTCCACAGAAGAGGGATGTGGGGATTTGGGAATGAGAGCAATAAAAGTATGATTTAAAGCTTTTAAAAGAAAACCAAATTTGAAAAAATGCTGAACAGCAGCAACAAAAACTATTCTAGTAGTTTTCCAAAAAGATTTGTAAAACAAGGGGGGAGACCATCAGGGCCAGGGCTCTTATTCGAAGCAAAAGAAAAAAGAGTCTTTTTTATTTCATCCAGAGAAGGAATAGAGCAAAGATCATCATTTGTATCTTGAGAGATAACAGAAGGAAAAAGATTATCCAAATGACTGGGGAATGGGGGGCTATCATCAACAAAACCAGATTTAAAAAGATTGCTGTAAAATCGAGAAAACAAGTTCCAATCTGTTCACAGTTGAAAACAAGCACATTATCCTTATTTCTAACAGAAACAATTCTATTATTTCTAGCATGAATAATAGAAGAAATATGAAAATTTTTACGGTTAACATCACCCTCTTTTAACCATTTTTCTTTTGCCTTTTGTCTCCAAAAAATCTCAGCTCTCTTAAGCCATTCATCAAGCTCAATTTGTAGGTTATTCTCCAATGGAATAGTTTCACCAGAGTGATCAAGGGATTGCAAAGAATGAATTTTTTCTTGGAGGAACTTGATGGAAGAATGGCAATTGCCAAAGTGCGAAAGATTCCATTTTTTCAGAGCTGATCTGACATTTTTAATCTTGGAATGAATCTGAAAAAGGGGAGAACCATTAACTGGGGAATTCCAGGCCTGAGAGACAATGTCAAAACATGATGGATCTTCGAGCCACATGGCCTCGAATCTGAAAGGCTTGGGCGATTTGGAGTTGGAGATAGAAGTATTGAGGAGTAAAGGGCAATGATCAGAGGAAAAAGTAGGGAGATGGAGGAGGCTAGAATCAGGAAAAGAAGAGATCCAAAGAGGATTTGCAATACCTCTATCGAGTCTTTCTTTGATATTAGTAATTCCTTGTCTTTTATTGGTCCAAGTAAAAGGATTACCATGATAGCCCAAGTCAATTAGACCAAGGGAATTGATATCAGACAACAAAGATTGGTTTGAGGAGGAAGCAAAGGGGAGCCCCCCTCTTTTTTCAGCTTGAGAAAGAGGTGAATTGAAATCTCCAATAACAAGCCATGCACCAAGAAATTCCTCAGAGATAGAATTAAGAATTTTCCAGAATTGGAGTTTTCCAGTAGGAGAACATGGGCAATAAATGCCAGTAAATTGCCAAGGGGTAAGGGAGGGATCAGAAGAAATAAAAGCATTGATAAGGAAAGAGTTTTGAAGGGTGATATCGACTGAGAGGAAGGAAGTCCAGGTAAGGCAGAGGCCTCCCGCTAGACCAATTGGAGGCACAAAAACTTGATTGATCAAATGAGAGGAAGAGAGAGCTTTGGAGATGGAGGAAGTAGAATAAGTCTTAATTTCTGATAGAAAAAGAAGATCAGGGGAGGAAGAGGATAAGAGCTGTTTTAACGCCCTTACTGTAATTTCAAGGGAGGAGCTTGGATTCAATTCAGAGGTGGCAGGGTTTAAGTGATTCCTAGTAATAGGATCCTCTGCGATTTCAGATATGGTGACAGCATTGTTTTTGTATCTGTGAATCATTGGAGAACCATCAGGAGATCTCGAGATGTAAAAGCCTTTCCTGTTCAAAGCTCTTGCATGAGTGAGCTCCATTGATTTCTCAGAAGGTGGGTGGTTTATCTCAGATAGCTCAGTTTCAAGGTAGGAGTAATGTGTTTGGGCGATTTGTGGGTGTTGACTTTAGGAAAAAAAAAAGAATTCCGGAGGATTGAAGGAGAGATCAAAGGCTCTTTTATGATTGGGTTTTATGGGAGGCCCAATATTTAGCTTTGAAGGGAAAGGCCCATAATTGGGTTTTATGAGAGGCCCGAAATTTAAATTTGAAGAGGAAAGTCCAATAGTCAGCTTGGTATGAGAAGTAAGAGAGGCCCAAATATTTGTAGGGGTAGTATTCTCAGATTGAGAGATTGATTTTGGTTCTACGACAGAGATGGCATTTAATGCACTGAAAGATTTTTCTTTATATTGGGAATTGACAGCAAATTTTTTAGGGGGAGCAAAATTCGAGAAAAGGGGACTTTTTCTCATTAATATTTCAGAATTGAGAGCTGTAAAGGGTATAATTTTTGGAAAAATATCACCACTTAGACTCAAATTCAAACTAGAAGAGGAAGCTGACCCTAGGGCTGGAAAAAAAATACCGATTACCATATACCATGGTATACCAACCAAGGATTACCGAAAAATTACCGAAATAACGGTTACCATTGTCTACGGTACGGTATTAGTACCGTACCATTACAATATGGTACGGTATTGGTATTGTATTTCTAATACCACGGTAATACCGTACCGTACCGCAATTTACATTTTAATCCAATTAATATGTTTTTTTCGATATTATTTTTTGTAATTCTATTTTGTTTACTAGAATCTTATAAATGGCAATAATTATTTTTCCCTTAAGTTAGCGGTAGTGTATTGTTTTTTTTTTTGTTTTTTTTTCTGCTAAGTTGAATTTTGCAATTGAACATATATGTTCTACTAAATTGTCTTTTATATTCCCTATAGCCAACTAATTTTATTATATATGATGTATGAATATTTTATTTTTTTACCTACATGTATGTATAGCATTGGTAAAGTATTTATTATATGTAATAATTATTAAGTACAATCAAGTTCCTAACAAATACCTAGTTGTTCCATTAAACAACATTTACATTATTATGGTATATGTTCTTGTTTCAATGAAGCAAATTATGTTAATTATTCCGATTATACACCGGACCTTCTTAGAAAATAAAATACAACTCATACAAGAGTAACTAGAACTATTTTCAATTGGGATATATATATATATATATATATATATATATATATATATATATATATATATATATGTATATTTTTAACTCATTTGTTTTTTAATCTTTGATGCATCACCAAGTACGGTAGAGTACCACGTACCGATTGTACCGTACCGAAAATAACGGTATGCCGAACATTGGTATACCGAACTTTTTGGTATGGTAACGGTATGAAATTTTTCAATACCGCAATGTACGGTAGGTACACGGTATTGAGCCAAATGTTTGGCAACCGTACCGAACCCACCCCTAGCTGACCCTATGGATAGGTCCACGAGTCCGCTTTTGACATCAGAGATAGGGATGTTTTGGCGGGAAAGAATATTGGGGCTAATTTTTTTATTCCCATCGGAAAAATGTGCCGGAGACCAGACTGATTTCTGTAAGAGTGATTGGACATGTGGATTAGGGGTAAGGTGGTTTTCGGATTTAAGCCATGGACCATACCTCATTTTTGAGAAATCAATGGTGCCTTCAATGGGAGCTATTGGACAGAAAAAACAAAAATCAGCAAGTCTATCATACCTGATTTCAGACAGAAGATCTTTCTTACCAGGAGAAGGGATGTAAATGTGGTCCATGAGGGCTTTGGAAGAATCGATAAGAACTTGGATCCGAAGAGTTTTTTTCCATCTATGGCTTGAAGACGATATGTCGGTTTTGATGTATTGCCCCAAGGAGTTTCCGATGATGCTTGGATCCAGAAATAGGCTGGGTTTAGGTTTATTTCGGAGAAAGCTTTTATTCGGAGGCCATGGTTGAACAAGGACTTGTGACTTACGAAAAGTCCATGAGAGGTTAGTGATTTTCTGCACATCTGCCAGAGAATCAAAAATGAAAGCCACCGTGTTGTCTTGGATCTGGTTTGTGGAATATTTCCCTTTGGGATTCCAAGCTTTTATCATCGTATTTTTGAATGCCCCCATATTGGGAGATTTCGAGGTGAGAATTTTTGCAATAATGGTGTATTCTTCCTTAAATGGTTCATTTATGACATCTGAAGGATCAGAGCACTCAAGAGAGGCAGTATGGTGGACCAACTCATTAATGGTGTAATCATGGTCCATATCCGAATGGTAGAAAGGAGAAAGGAGAAAGGAGAAAGGAGAAAGGAGTAAAGACAAGAAATCAAGACAGAGGATGGTAGAGGAGGGAACAAGACAATAGTATGAATACAAATATTCAAGAGTTTGGTGAGGCATCCATAACCAAAGAGAGACCCTACAAAAAGAGAGAGAATTTTCTAGAGAGAGAAAAAGAGTAAAAACACCCTCTTTGAATACTGTGTCTATATATATATATATATATATATATATTAAAGTATTGGCATATTAACATCATAGACTGATATAAATGATTCAGAGTTAAAAGTCCAAGTTGAGCAAAATAGTAAATTCATCTTGTCTCTATCTATTGACCACAATATTTATCAAAAGTCTCCTTTGTGAAATTTGTACTTGGTTGTTGTACTTTCATATCTCACCATCACAGAAGTTCTCACCATCTGCAATCTCTCTCTCTCTCTCTCTACACTTACATAGTCAACGAAAGAATGGAAGCAGCTCCGGTTGGCGCAGCCCTTGGAGTTCTACTTCCAAAACTGATCTCAGTTTTGGAAAAGCAGATCGACCTCTTCCAAAATTTCAAGAAAGATCTAAAAAAGCTAAAAATTTCAATCACCATGATTCAAAGTTTCTTGAACGATGCGGAGAACAAGCGAATCACCAACGGAACCGTCAAACTTTGGTTGCATAAGCTTGAAGGTGTCGCTTTCGATGCCGATAATGTTTTGGATGAGCTCGACTATCAACATCTCTCCCAAACAGTTCATCCTACCCAACACAAAATCAAGAAAAAGGTACGATTCTTCTTCCCACGCAATATTCGTCGTCTAAAAATGGCACATAAAATCAAGGATATCAATAAAAATTTGAAAGAGATCAACAAGGAGCTAGGTAAGCAACTATGGCCTTCAAAACATAGTAGCGGGAGCAAATGCTCAAGCTGATGGATCACAAGGGCCATCTGCTGGCAGAGAAACTGATTCTTTGGGTAACGATCCGATTTTTCTTGGAAGAGAAAATGATGTGTCTGAAATTGTGAAGATGATGACTACTCCTCCAAAGGGTGATCATGTATTCTCTATCCTTCCGATTGTCGGGATGGGAGGACTCGGAAAAACAACAGTAGCTCGGGAAGTGGTTGATCATAAAGACATAAGGACTCGTTTCCCTAAACGTTTTTGGGTGCATGTTTCTGAAAATTTCGATCTCATGATTCTTTTCAGAAAGATTCTTACATCATTAACAAGAACAAACGTCAAACTTGAAAGTAGACAAGATGTTTTGGAAGAGCTTCAGACATATTTGGGAGCTGGAAGATTTCTACTTGTCCTCGACGATGTTTGGAATGACAGCGAGGAAAAATGGGATGATTTTATTAATCCGTTGAGAAAGATTAGTTCTGCGACAGGAAATGGCATTGTTGTTACTACAAGAAATCTGAGTGTTGCTTCACTGGTGACAACACTTCCTATTCACAAACTAAATGGATTGTCAGTTGAGGAGTGTTGGTCCATAATCAAAGCGAAAGCCTTCGTGGATGGTAATGTTCCATCAGAATTTGAGCTCGTTGGGGTATCTATTGCAAAAAACTGCCAAGGTTTGCCATTGGCGGCTAGAATGGTTGGGAGATTGTTGCGTGGTAAGTCGATTGATGAGTGGCTTCATATCGAAAAGAACTGGCTCTCAGATTTAAGAGATGAAAATTTAGTCTACAAGATTTTAAAACTGAGTTTTGATCATTTGTCGTCACCAGCACTCAAGAAGTGTTTTGCATATTGTTCGATATATCCTAAAGGATATGACTTGCAAAGGGAACGCTTGGTTGAGTTGTGGATGGCAGAGGGATTTCTTGAAGGAAATGATGATATGGAGAGATTGGGCGGCAAATTCTTTAATCTCCTTTTGGAGAACTCCTTGTTGTTACAAATTGTGGAGAGAAATGGCGACGTCAATATAATATATTATAACATGCATGATCTTGTGCATGATGTTGCATCCTCTATTTTAAACTCAAGCGATCAAGTTCGGTACATAAGTTGGGAATCAATTAGTGGTCAATCACGTGCTATCTTGAAAAAACAAGCAAGTTGTCTTCGTTCATTACGTTTCAATAATAGTGTCTGCGATCTCGTGTTCTCGAAGTTCAAATCGTTGCATGTTTTAATTTTGACTTCAGGCGGTCATTTTACTTTTGATGAGTTGTCAAGTTCCATTGGAGAGTTAATACATTTGAGATGTCTGGACATTTTTCACACATTTATTAAATGTTTGCCAAACTCTGTTGGTGATCTCTATCACTTGCAGACATTAAGAGCATGTGCTGACCTGGAGAAGTTGCCAAACACAATGAAACACTTGATGAACTTGAGACATCTCCACCTTCCTTCTCGAATCGAATTGCCTCCGGAGATGGGAAGATTAATTTCTCTACGAACACTACTATATTTTGGAGTGAGCGATAAAAAGGGTTGTGGAATTGGTGAACTCAAAAGCTTGAAGAATCTAAAAGGGGAACTGGAGATTTATAATCTTGAAAAGGTGCGTGACAAAGAGGAGGCTAAAATGGCAGATTTATTACAAAAGTCGAACATAGTCAAGTTAAAGCTTGTGTGGAGTCACGGTCAGAATGGCAATGAGAGTGTTTTGGAAGGCCTCCAACCCCACCCAAATTTAAAGAGCTTAAACATTTGTGGATTTCCAGGAAGAAATCTGCCATCATGGTTTTCAATGATGTCGGAGCTTAATAATTTGATGGAGATATGTCTTCGAAATTGCAAAGAATGCGAAAAAATTCCAATGCTAGGGCACTTGGGACATTTGAAGAATCTTTATCTACATGGTATGGAGAATGTGAAATCCATAGGTTCGTCATTCTACGGAATAGACAAGTGCAGCGGAACAGATAATAGAATTACTATATTTCCGGCACTTGAAAGGCTCGAGTTGGTTTGTATGTGGGAGCTGACAGAGTGGTTAGAGTATTATAATGTGGTGCTATTTCCTCGCCTCGAATACTTGAAGATTATAATGTGCATGCAATTGAAGAGTGCTCCAAGTCACTTTCCATACCTAAAAGAATTGGAGATTTCTCAAGTCAACAGTGAATTACCTTTGGCGAGTTTATGTGGGATCAAATTAACCTCGCTTACAAAACTCCGAATTAATTCAATTGATGATCTACATAGCCTCGATGCTCTTGAGATATTGAGTATACATGATTGGTGTGTCTTCCAGATTGGTTATTTCATAAAAACCGAAATCTCTCGGAGTTGAAGATACTTTATTGTCCCAACTTAAAACATCTAGTGCCTTGCTTCCAAAGTGGCTACGCCTCTCTACTAAAAAAGTTGGAGATAAGTTATTGTCCGAATTTGAAAAAATTACCGGATGATCTACATAGCCTCGATGCTCTTGAGATATTGAGTATACATGATTGCCCGAATCTGGTGGCAATACCATATCCACACGAATCACATGGTGAGCAAGAATTAGTATTATTAGGATTGAGTTGCCTTCGTGAATTGAGTATTCGTAAATGCCCCGGGTTGACCGAGTTGCCAAGTGAAATGATAGAGTCGTGTGCGGAGTCACTCGAGAAGTTGGAATTGCTTGAATTGAGCAACTTAAGGATGGATGTGGGAATGGTGACGGGGTGTTTGCAGAAAATGCATCGTCTCTCGGAGTTAAGGATTGCTGATATTCCAACCACCGATTCCTCGAAGATTGGGTTGTCGTCTAATGACTCTAGCTTGCGGGGTACTTTAAGCACGGGTACAAGTTGCGGTGAGTCCTCACATTCCTCGGTTTTCGATGCCATCTTGAAAGGGTCAGCAAAATCTCTTTGTACATTACACTTGTACGGGACAAAGCACAGTCGGGATCTACCGGAGCAGCTTCAACATCTCACTGCTCTTTATGAGCTACACTTATATAATTTTGAAGAGATTGAACAATTTCCTGATTGGGTAATTGGGAACAACAACAACTTGTCCTCGTCTTTGCACCAGATATGTCTATATAACTGCAGCAAGTTGCGCCGTCTACCGTCTAAGGAAGCCATGCTACGTCTCACCAGCTTAACTAATTTATTCATTTACCAATCTCCGATGTTAAAACTAACAAGGCAACCAGACGGAGATTCTGAGTGGCCCAAGATTTCCCATATTCCCCGCGTAATTTTGGATGGAGTTGTAGTTCCAACTAACGTCGTCTAAATTTGTCGCATAAATTCAATAGGTCGCTCAAGGCATAAATACTTGCACGTTGGAATTTTATATCAAATATTAATAAGTGTAATTTTATATATATCGTATTATTCTCAGCTCCGGAACTCGACTTTTAGAGCTTATGAATTAGTACATGATATGAGATAAATATTTGTTGCATTCATTTGAACTCCAACTTATTATCTTAACATCTCAGGATTTCACCGCAGAAGGTCAAACTGCCGGGCCCTCAGAAGTGCATGCTCGATTCCTAATGAATTAAAATCAGGAAAATGTAGTAGTTGATCCCCTAAAATCAAAGATTAAAAGGAAGAAAATAAAATTAAAATTAAGGATTAGCAGCTCGAGCTGGAGCAAGTGAATCGAGTTCGTCGAAAAATATAACACATGGACGTGCTGCTCTGAAGCTGGTTTAAAATTTATGGTCTCAGTGTTTATTTGCTTTTTTTTTTTTTACTTGTTACGAAAGGATAATTTCTTTCTCTGTTTAAACCTCTCCCACTCTCATTCCTCTCTCAGTTTAAGAGTTTTAATCAAAATTAGTCTTATGTATTTCACCCTTTATTATTTGCCCTTTAATCGATAAATTTGAATGATCGTATGTTTTTATTCGATACGGAAGAAATGGGGGTACAAAAAAAATCGAAAAAATTGTTTTTCATACCCAAAATATTACTGATTTGGACAATAATATTAGTAATATTATTGTGGTAATATTCATATTACTGTTTTCGCATTCAATATTACTGTCTCATACATTAATTATGTTGTTAACACAGTAATTTAGGGAGGATAACAAATTCAAAAATCAGAATTTAAAAGAAAAGGTCAATGGCGGAAACTGGCGGTCAACGCCGACGACCGGCAGGAAAAAAAAATATTTTCTAAAAAAAAAATATCTTTTCAAAAAAATTGTGAAAATGGGGTAATATGGTATATTTGTTTGAATTCACGGTCAATATAAAATATGGACAAGGTCAAAATACAATAAATTAAATTGATGAAAATTATATTATGAGTGACACTTTGGACAAAATACATGGAATTAGTTTATTTGCAAAAGTATTTTTGTTTGCACATATGTGAATTTAAGTTCTTGTCATAGGCTTATATGCCCATAATTTTGTTTGAGCTCTTAAATTAGCTTTGGGAGAGAAATGAAAGAGGTAGGTAGGTCTAGAGAGAGAAATGATAGAGTATTATAAAAGGTAGGGTAAATTATACTCACTCCTGAGGTATGGTCAAATTACGATCTCCACATTTCAAATTTAATGGAATTTTCTAGATTTTTATGGAATATTATCACTTTTGTACACGTTTTATCCCATTCGATCTCCACATTTTGAAACAAAATGATCATAACATGTGTATTTTGGCCTGTACATATACCACATTTTGGTGCATCAGAAACTGTATTTTTACACAAAATGAGTACAAACTAGAGCACATTCCACGTAATCTAGATAATTATATTGAATTTGACACCATAAGGATGGAAGTGTAAGTAAATTCTTAGTTGAGGGATATATATAATTATCCAAACAATAGGGGAGTTCTCGTAATTTGACCCATACACATTTGAGAATGAATACTTGACTTGGGCCAGAATATTTTGAACACGGGGACGTATATGCAAGATATATACTACTTATGTGGATTAATCGAAAATCCAAATGTTGGGGAGGGGCCGAGATTTAAATAAAAATAAAAGTGATGCGTCTAGTTTTAAAAACCCATCACACATCCAACGGCCCACGCCCACCAAATACTAATATAGAAACCCTAGAAACCTCTCTCTACTTCATTCTCTCTCTACAGCCGTCGTCGTGTGTATTCTCTCTCCTCTCCAATTTACACACACGCGCCACCGTTCCCCGAATCGTGAAAGATGGTAAAGATTTACGAACGAATTGTAGTTAATTTTTTTATTTTTTTGTTTTTTCCGAATTGATTTCGCCTTTTTATTTGATCCGATTTGATAATGTTTTTGAATAGGCGGTCTCGAATGATTACGATCTGCTCAACCCGCCGGCGGAGCTCGAGAAGAGGAAGCACAAACTCAAGCGCCTCGTACAATCCCCAAATTCTTTCTTCATGGTATTTATATTCTTCCATTTTCAATTTATTTAATTATATATGATTTATTTATTTTTATTTATGTTTTATGTTTGATTCGTTGTTTGTGTCATTGTTGTATTCGCAGGATGTCAAGTGTCAGGGTTGCTTCAACATGTAAACTTTCTATCTTTTTTTTTTTTTTTTTTTTTTTTTAATTTCTAGTTTCACTTTTAATTTTTAATTATTTGATTTCATGTATGGTTAATTGAAAGGGTAAATTACAACCTCCCGTGAGGTGTGGTCAAATTACGAAACCCCACTCATATTTGGGTAATTAAAACCATCCCTCAACTGTAAATTTTCTTACACGTACACCTATGCGATTTTAAATTTAGTGGAATCTTCTAGATTATATGGAATATTCTCAATTCAATTTTGTACCAGTTTAATCCCATTCAAGCTCCACATTTAGAAGTTAGATATTATAAGATGTGTTTTTTGGTTTGTATATATCAGATTCTGGTGCATCAAAAACTGTATTTTTGCACAAAACGAGTACAAACTAGAAAATATTCCACGGAATCTAGATGATTATGTTGAATTTGACACCATAAGGGTGGATGCGTCAGTAAGAAGATTCATAGTTGAGGGTAGATGTAATTATCCAATTATGGGGATTTTTTTTCGTAATTTGACCATAACTTAGGGGTGGTTGTAATTTACCCTTATTGAAATTATAAAAATATGCTTTTTTTTTTATTTTTTAATTATATTTTATGTGTTTTGGGAATGTTCAGAACCACGGTGTTCAGCCACTCTCAGACGGTGGTCGTCTGTGGCAACTGCCAGACTGTGCTCTGCCAACCCACCGGAGGGCGTGCTAGGCTCACAGAGGGATGCTCATTTAGAAGAAAGGGTGATTAATTTTAAATCTACTTTTGATTGTATTTACATTATTATGATAGTGAAAAAAATGATATTCTGAGAGGATTTTTTGGTTTAATGTGACTGAGTAACTGTTGTGTTATTTATCTAGATTTTTATGATTGGATATTGCAATTCGGTTTATATTAAATTATCCCTTTTCCTCTTATGCAAAATGTTTTCCGTTTTTGCTTTTCTATTCTGATCGTGTTTCGACTGACGAAAACTGCTTGAAATATGATGAAGTGTCTACTTTGTGATATAGTCTTGAGTGAAAAATCAAACAGAATTTATTGCACCGAGTGAGATATTACACAATGATAAGATCGACTTTGAAGTTCGGTTACTGAAATTTTGCGTTGTGCGTGGGTGAAATTTCGTGTTTTTTTTTTTCTCGATTTGGGTTCAGTTTTGACATTGCAGATTTGCTGATGCAAAATGCATGAAATATATCGAGTGTGTACTCTGTGATTTTGTTCGAGTGAAAATCGAGAGGAACAAAGTGTTGCATGAGTAGGGGTGGAAATCGGACGGATCGGATCGGATTTGGGTGTTTCGGAAAATTTCCGATTTTTTTCGGAACTCCAAAACGACTTCCGATTCCGATTCCGATTTTTTCGGAATTCAAAAAGTGATTCCGATTCCGATTTTTTCGGAATTTTCGGAAAATCGGAATTTTTCGGAAATATTCATTTTTGGAATTTTCGGAAATTTTCGGAAATTTTTCGGAAATTTTCGGAAATTTTCGGAATTTTTCAGAATTTTCCCAAAAAAAAACAAAAAAAGAAAAACAAAAAAAAAAAAAAAAAAATGAGCACCGACACAGTAGCAAAACAGAACATCTCACACAAAAACACACAACAGACACCATAAAACACACAACAGACTCACAATTCACAAACATAGCTTAATTGAAAATAAAATCCAAACAAATATTCTTAATAAAACAACAAACAATTTCTTAAACCAATTAAAAACACACAACTTCGTAGGATAAATATAAATCAACAACGCTACTCCAAATAAAACATAAAAAAAAAAAAAGAGCGATTCAAGTTTGAAATAACACGAACTCCCAATATAAAGAAGAAAAAACAACGAACAAACGTAGACGATTCAAGTTTGAAATAACACGAACTCCCAATACATATATAATAATAATATATATGTATATATATATATATATTGTAAAAAAAATATTAGTAATATACTATTAATTAGTACAGGCGGATAGATATATACATATATTATATATTATATATAGTAATAAATATTAATATTATAATTGAAAAAATCGGAAAAAATCGGAAATAATCGGAAATAATCGGAATAATTTCGGATCGGAAATCGGAAATTCCGAAATTCTGTAATGTATTTCCGATTCCGATCCGATTTTTTTCGGAATTTTCGGAAATCGGAATTTCGGAATTTGGAATTAAAAAAGTCGTTCCAAAATCGGAATATTTCGGATCGGATTCGGCGGAAATCGGAATTTTCGTTCCAATTTCCACCCCTATGCATGAGTGAGATATATACTGTGATAAGATCGACTTTGAAATTCGTTTACAAATTCAATGAGGTGTGTTATGGGATTAATAGATGTTTTGTATGTTGCAATGTTTAACTACTCCTTTGATTTTTACTACTTGTTTGGACAAGTGCGGTCTTTTTTATGCTGATATAGTTCATCCTAGTTTTAGCTGAAAATCTTTAGAGTAAATTACAGCCGCCCTTGACGTAAGGTCTATTTACAAAAAAACCCTCCAATTTTTCCATAATTACACCCACTCAGTGGCGGAGCTACGTTGAAGTGTGGGTCGGCTGAAGCCCACCCTGATTTATTTTTTTATGGAATATTTTAATGCTAATTATGTTTAGTTATCATTTTTATACACTATTTCAGTCCTAATCCAATTTAGTTAGCCCACCCAACAAATTTGTAATATAGTTTAAAGAGCTCTAATAATTATATTTTGGACAATATAAAGGGGCAATTTGCTGTAGGTCCTCCTATAAGAGATTATATGTGTAAAAATCCATCTAATAAAATTCAATTTCCAGCAGATTTTTTATTTGTAATATGTCAAAAGTACCCCTATCAATATATGGAATAATAAATTCTCAAAATAAAATCCCCTATTTTTCTCCCTATTTCATTGACCTAACTATTACCAAATCTAATCACGGTGACTGCAAATCCAAAAATTCGAATTCCACAGCTCTGGAAAATCGATTTCTACAATACCAAAACCTTGCAAAAAATTGTGATGCCTTCCATAGGTTGCTTTGTCGAAGCGTTTGCAATTTACAAGGTCGTTTGTTGTTTGATTTGCTGAACCAGTTTGCCCCCTTTTTAGCTCACGATTTCCCAATTGTTTGCTGTTTGAAGACATCGGCTCGTGTTTAGTGTTTGCTGTTTGGGATTTACATGGTCAAAACACGATTAAGTCCTGGTAATCAACGATATAAACTGTTTGAATGATTGGTGTGTGCATTTTGAATTCTTTGTCCTGCGTTGCATAT